GGAACGCCTAAAATTAGAAATCCATGTAAAAAGTAGACAATCGGTGCCGTTCCTTCGATTTATATAGCAATACTGCATGGCTGTATTGATAATGAAACGCGATAGATTTTTTTCCAGGAATTTATAACTACGTCTTTCTAGGATTGGTTACCTGCAATACACTACATATAAAACACAAATTGAAACACGTGTAATTTAGAGCTATAGATTGTACGGATAGATATATAAAATATGCACGGATGAAGAGGCCTTGCCTCTTGCGGGTATTGTAAGCAGGCTGAAATTAAATTATCAATTTGTACTTCACTTTCATGCACATGAATGGACCTTGTGCGTGTATTTCTAAGCGAATTTATCCCACTTGCGCCCTTGCCTGTGCTATATATAAACACACGCACAAGACGCTATATGCGGATAAAGCGATTTAGAAACGTGAAAACTGTGCATTTTATTATATTCCTGCGCACCTGGAAGAAGTATTTTTTAATCACTCAAAAAATTAAATTACATTATTGCGATCTTTTAAAAGCTCCTAGCACGTATCTGTTAATGAAGTTGCATTTTTTGAAAAAGCATTATAACCAATTATACCTTCTTTGTAGCATTTCCTGTTCCGATGATAACAGTATTAAGTTTCTGCACAAGAGATAACTCTCTGGAACGTAAATGCATCAATATTCCAAATGCTGTACATAACGGAGCTACTTGCGAATTATCATCTTTTACGCGAGGAGCTGCTATAGCCATTAAAACATTAAGAACCTCGGGCACCCTCTCCTTCATCTCACGCAGTAACGTAATCCATTTGAAGTCCGCCAGGTTTCTCTGCTGCTCTCTTGTAACACGCAAAACCGAAGATTTCTCTTTGGTTTTGGAGCAAAGTTTTTTGCATTTTTCATTTATGTCTTCAGTAAGCAAAACCATCACACACTTCTTCAATTGTGGTATTTCCATCACAGTTCTCGCAATAAAGGTTGGAGATCCTTTGACAATCTCTTCCATTAACTTATTTTTTTCGGTGGAATTAAGGCTGGATGTTGACTCAGCTTTACACTAGGGCAAAATTTTGGGATAATCAGTAAACTAAATAAGTTTATATATAAAACTGCATGTATATCCTTACAGTGTACTAAAGTGTCAGCAGTATATAGGTAAAAAATGTGCAATTGGGGAAAATAATTTGTCATTGTTTACCTTCAGAGCTTGTAATCCGCATGTGGACAAAATTTTTACCTCCTCCGATTGTACCGGCGGTGGGCCGGTATTAGTTACTTCGCCCTCCCCACGTTTAGAAAACGATGCCAGTGTATTTCTTTGTTGTTGGTCGTTGGGTAACTGAAGGCCGGTATGTGTTGGTTTGGGTGCAATATCCTGAAAGCGCTTGGCCAAAGATTGTGACGCTTGAGATTCAGTCATTCGTGTTCGTTTTGGCATTGATAAAGAGGTCGGCGAGGACGCTGGCAAAAGGCTACCTGTTTGCGGTTCTTTTCTACCTCGTTTTGACCTCGAGGTTGCAAATTGCTCTTCTTGTTTTCGTGTAGTCTCATCGAAAGCAGATTTAAACTCGTGCACTTTTTTTTTTAATCCTGAAATCTTAAGCACACACAAACGGCAAATCCATTTCGAAAAATAGTCGTCTTCGCTAAGTTGTATACCCGTCAAGTGATAAATAGTCGACAATATACTCTCCTCCTTCGATTTAACACCATATAGGTTAACGCGATTAATAGTTTTGTCACTGCCGCAGCAACGACAGCAACTCGATATTTTTTCGGATACTGATTTCTTCGGAGTTGTGCAGGACGCCATGACGTTTATCATTTAAGAATGATTTTTTCGTGCAGTGCTATAAATACACCTGTTTCAATTCGTGCAGAATATAAATACACCTGTTTCAATACGTGCAGAATATAAATACACCTGTTTCAATACGTACAGAATATAAATACACCTGTTTCAATACGTACAGAAACAGGGTCGGGAAACACCTTTCATTAACACTAAAAACATTTGTGTCAGTTAGTGTCCCACCCGCCTGCATTGTTTGTTATTGTATGTAAAGCCCGCCGCACACGATGGCTATTAGCTGAGGTAAAGCTTTCGCGAGGCTGTTATATCTCAGCAATGGTTTTTGGACTGAGCTAACTGCCTCGGTAGTTAGCCCAGCTGATAGCTCTCGTGTGCGGCGGGCTTAAGGCCTAAGGCTGCAGATACATTGCAATTTTATGATCACTCAACAAGAAAACAATTGCACAAAAAATTATTTTAAGAAAAATTTATTGTGAAACAAACTCTTCAAATGTACAAATATACGACAAATGTCATCCAAAATCAAGAAAGACAAGAAACAATATATTGATAATCACCAGCGGAATGTCACCTGCGGCATTGTTATAAAATACACACTAGGCATACACCAATGTATTCATTATACATATTTATGCTATGTTATATACTGGGATATAAATTTAAAAAAATGACTCGATTCATGTTTTAATTCAGCATTGTATTAAAAGGACTTCGGATATACGGCATTATACGACGAGAACTTCCATACGATGATATTTTCGATTCACGGTGCTAAAATTTGAGTATAATTTGCCAACTCTATGAAGTGTGGGCTTTTAAAAATTACCAATTACTACGCAAACACAAAGGATATTCAAATTTGAAACTGGGATAAACCTTTAACTCATTCGCACACTCTTATACGGCGGCCATCTTGTATTTACAGATTACGCAACAATTGTCAAAATTAACGACCAATCAGAAGCGCTTCTGATATGGATTATCCCAGAGCCCCCGACTCCTTCCCCCGATGGATCGCGGGCTCTGGTTTCGAGATTGAGTCAAGACAAAAACACGCATGTGCAAAGGAACATATATGGTCAACACAGGATAATAACTGTGTTTAACATTAACAGTGATTCAAATATGGCGTACTACCGTTTGCAAGCTACCGTGAACCGTGTCCAATCAAACGTTTTGTTTTACGTTTATTTCCGGTGACGTTTGCGCGCGTAAACGTCATGTTCTCTAAGTACAATTGTTTACGTTTGCTCGCCGAAAAGTTAACGTTTGAGCTAGAAAAATTCGGTTTACAATAATGATTCAAGTTAAAATATTGTATGGCAAAGACAGATGTAAAGTAAAAACTTACAATAATGACGAACAATTGTTCAAAATGTCGTTGGACTCATTTAAAAATGATATAAAGCGTTTTGTTGGTGGAACATTCCTTGTCAGCGACCGAGTTCGAATTGAATATCGAGATGATGAAGGCACGTATGTGACTATGTACGAGAACTCTGATCTTAAAGATGCTATACGATGTCTGAGCGCCGTGCCTAATACGGATAATACTTTGAGGATGGTGATCAAAATAGACGAATCAACTACCCCTGTTATTTTGCAGGGGAAGCAATACAGCCCACAGGAAAAGAAATCTCGATTCTCAAGTACAACATTTGCCTCGACTATTGAGCGTGCGACGCCATTAGTTAAAAAGAAGTTAACTTTTTCAAACAAAACGAATAATATTTTCGAAGATGACGATTACGAGGAGACATTTGACAGGCGACCGGCAAGTAGCGACGAAGAAAGTCAAGAAGAAAGTGATATGAACAATAGTACCCAACTATATCAGAACACTGGCAAGACACCGATAGCTAGATATATCGAGAAGACTCAACATAAAATTAAAGAGAATGACAATGCCATAGAAAAATTGAAACGTGAAGAAAGGTTGACAAAGCAACGGATAGCAGAAGCGAAGTCTAACAATCAATCCGTTGGTAATTTGTGTAGCCGATGTCATCTTAGAATGGGACATACAGTTAGGACTTGTATTTTTGAGCGATGCGACTCTGTGTTCAAATGTGGAGAAGAAAAGCAACATCCCGGAGAAATAGATACCAGAAAGAAAAAGAATGCTATAGTGCGACTGGAGTCAATCGGACGTAAGTTAGAAGCTGAGCTTCAAAATAAAAAAGATGCTGCTGAAAAAGTTGGCTCATCCATTGTTAATCGGCTAGAGGAAGAAATTTTAGCTGTTGACCAAGCTTCCTACACGTTTAACGGTTTTAAAAACTGGAGTCTTCTCCGAAAACATGTTTTTATTTTGCAATCATATTGCAAACGTCATTATGGGGGAAAAATTCCTCCGAGACATAAAGTTATGGAGTGTTTACGTAGAGCAATTCAAGAAGACGAAAGTGTTTCGTCTGCGACTGTCGGCATGTCGCAGGTAAGGTCTCGTCGCGTTCGGGAAAATCCTTTTAAAGATCACCTCGAAAAACAAGGAATTGTTTTTCCTCGTTCAAGTGAAACTATATCGAAGATGCCTACAAGCGATATGTTTCGCTACGCGCCGCAAAATGAAGTTGAGGAGGATGAGCAATTTCGCATGGCTTTATCGATTAGTTCTTACGACACTGAGCCACGAAGCGAAACTCGTGACGAATTTGAGCAATATGAAAGTGTCACAGACACCCCTGGCCCTGCTATGTCTATGTCTTCTAACGATGCAGATGCCGCGAGTTTGTTACTATCCCTTAAGAATGCAAACAAATGATCATTGACATTGTAAGTTCCAACATTTTCTTCAAGTTACAATGGCTTACTTTGAACGTGAATTTATATTTGTTTAAGAAAACTTTTAATTACAAACTTTCAAGTTATACGTTCCGTTTTTGTGCCACTGTGGAAATTATCATCTACAATGAACAAAATTTATTTGTTCTAATGACGTTTTTACAAAATTTATTTGTAAAAAAGTACATTTTTTTCAACATTAATCACATTGTTTACGTTTTGTTTATACAAATTTTATTTTTTATCTTGTCCAAAATTTGATATTGTCCGTAAAATGTTTGTCTGTTATCAAAATGAAAACAAGTCAGTATAGTGTAATCAATGACACTGCGCCATGGTGGTAACTTTGGTATTATTTACACCACGCGTACTATCTTTGTAGAAATATCTCTATCTTACTGTAACATTTACATATGTGGAAATAAGTATGAAGTATATTTATAGAAACCCTTCATATCCTCTTGGGAAATCTGTTCAATAGCGAGCATGGCTGCCAAGGGTAAATTGTCATGAACTCGAGATTTTAATTCATAATTAAGCATAGTTTTTATTTTATTGAAGCACAGCTCTATAGGATTTAAATCCGGTGAATAAACGGGGGTATACAGAAGCTCTATACCCATCTCTCCCAAAAATTCTTCAAGAACTTCCCCACCCTCGTATTGGTGAACCGCCAAATTATCCATTATAACAACATCACCCACACCAAATACTGGGCGATGAGTGTTCAAATTAATAGCGGCCGCAGCTTCTTCAAAAAAATTGAGGAATTCCATGGTGTTACTTGCTCCCGGAATAACGCTATAATAATCAGCTCCGTTCAAAGAAACAAGCAAATTTAATGTATTGTTTGGGGATTCATATTTTCTAATGACGTTTACACACCTTTCACCGACTGGTGAATGGCCGTAGCGTCTTGTACCAACGTCGGGAATTTTCAGGCCTGCTTCGTCAAAAAATTTTAAACGCCAAGGGTCTTTAGAGCATACGTAGTCAATAAATATCTGCGTATAAAGCAAGTTCGACTGGGTGAAACGTTGAGTGGCAACATGTGATATTTTTTTCCTGGAATATCTTTTTCCAGAAAGCATATGTTTTCTCACAGCTCGAGATATTGTGGATAAGGAAATGTGTGTATTATCGTCATTAACTTCACTCAAAATTTCATAAATTTCATTTAGTGAAATTGAGCCGTTCTCTGTTTTCAATATTTCTATTAGTTCAAGGTCATCAGCATTTAACTTCTGACTGAAATTTCCACCACGTTTTGACTCCTGTACAGTATATCTTTCGCAGTATGTTCTCCATATGTTTGACACGGAGCTGTGGGATATTTTAAATCTCTTTGCGACATCTTTAAACGAGGCGTTAGTAAAACCTGTACATCTATCCCCTTCGGCTTGCAAGAGCTCAGCAATGACACACGTTCGAATATCTTCAGACAAAGCCTTTCCTGGGCCATACGTTCTTCCATATTTGTTGATTCTGGGAGCTGCCATCGCCTGGTTTTCGTGATTTTAAAATGCCGTATTTTTCTTTTGGGTGCACAGTTACTATGTCAAAGGTTAACTTTTCGGCGAGCAAAAGTAAACAATTGTACTTAGAGAACATGACGTTTACGCGCGCAAACGTCACCGGAAATAAACGTAAAACAAAACGTTTGATTGGACACGGTTCACGGTAGCTTGCAAACGGTAGTATTGTAGGAGTGAATTTTTGTCCCACAAAGTCAACACAAATATTGTGTATATTATCGAAACCATTAGAGTGGTAAATTGATCTCTCGAGATTTGAACGCGCGGGATAGATATTATGTACCACGTGATCATGTTTTTAGCGCCTTCGCGATAAGAATTTATGTACCACGTGACAAGAATTTTTGCAAGCGGCTCTGACAAACAACAAGCATGGATTTCAGGCGTACGCCGACAAAAAAATGGCTTAAAAATCTTAATTTAGAGCATTTATCCTTCGCCTTTGAGAATAATGGTTTTGATACTGTGGGGGCGATTGCAGCAATGGATTATGGAGACATTGACGTGATTTTTGAACCGGATGGCCTAAAGCTTGGAGAGCGAAGATTGCTGGAAAAACAAATCAAAATGCTAAAAACGAAGGTACTGAACTTTAAAATATTGCTGTCTCTACTGGTGTAAACACGCTGATTTGGATTTTATGTATGTTTTGTAGTCATTGGGTACTTCGTGCTCTGTCGAAAATATGTTTGATACTGCCGAACAAAATGTTTCAAAAGCCAAAGGCGAAGCCTCAAACAAAGCTTCTGATCGGTCAAGTAAGCGTGTGACAACAGCCAGAAAAGGACTTACTTACCACTGCTGTGAGAGTCCATCTTTATCCGCAGTTAGTCCTTTACAGTCTTATATTTTACATCAAAAAAGTGCGATTGAAGATCAGGTGAGAAATCTGTCTTCCATCGAGAAAGAGCGCGATAATTTCGTTCGAGAACGAACGCCAAATGAAAATAAGTTGTCTACTCTGACTATGCCAACCTGTAGCAAGTGTCACTTGAAAGAGGGTCACAATAGACTAAATTGTCCATATCCTAATCTCTGTTCATCGTCAACGTTTTGCAAAAATATTGACAAACATCCGCAGGAAAAGCAAACCCTAAAGGAGTTTAACAAGAGAATCAGCGAAGAGCGTAAACGTTTATCGTCTTTGAAAGAAGACCTCAAAAGCAGAGAACACTCGTATGAAAGTGTTAAAAATCGGTATGTTACGCGAGTAAGAGAAACACTAATTGCGAGCAATCCTGAAAAATACACGACTGAAATTGACGGTGTATCTATCGAGAACTGGCGTATGATAAATAAGGACAGTAAAATACTTGAACAAGAATTCAAGGGTAAGATTCCCACTCCCGAGGAGGCTAGAAAGGCAATAATGTCAGTCGAAACTCTGGTTCCACACAATACGAGAGGAAAAACGTCCGTTCATGAGCCGTATAAAAAGTTGTGGGAATCACATGGGGTTTCGTGGCCCAAAGCCCGTGACTTTAACCGTGATTTTAAGTCCTCGAAAATTGGTAGTACATTCACCAGTGCTCGTGCCTGTGATGTTTCAAAGGAAACGCACGATCCTGCACTTTGCTCTCCACAAAGAAAAAAAGCCGCGTTAGCAAGCAATAGTTCATACGTTAAAGACGACTACCAGCTTGCTTTAGGAATGCAAAAGAGTTATGACACATTGCCAGATTCGTTTGATTTAGACGCCTTTGAATCTGCAGAAATCTCTGCAAACGTCGAAAGCTCTGCAGACTTCGATCAGGATGAGACTGTCGATCCGAATGAGACTGTCGATGCGAATGAGACTGTCGATCTGAATGAGACTGTCGATCCGAATGAGACTGTCGATGCGAATGAGACTGTCGATCCGAATGAGACACAGCAAATGCCTAATCAATTACCAAACGATGAAGCTTTCACAAATAGAAATACGGAAGCGTCTGCATCATGCGTGGGAAATTTCGGCGAAACCCAGAGTCGTAAGTCAACATTAAATTTGTACGCCCTTGCAGAAGCTGCGTTGGAAATGTTAAATTCCGACGATTAGCTAATATCGTTTTGATGTGTTCAATATTTTGTAAACTGTGCAAATACTTTTTCGCAAACTAAAAGTTATTTATAGTACTCACAAACAGGTTTATATTTAGTTTTGTTGACATTGACATGTTAAACATTTTATGTATATTTCGCTGTTCAACCCAGCTTTAAAATCGCAGTTGTGTTTTTACATTGATGTAAAATTTGAAGTTCAATTTTAGTTATATTGTTTTCAATAAACAGTCAAACAAATATGTATTTAGTGTGTCTATAAAATCCAAGCATGTCATTTGGTGAAATTTCTTCCATGGCCTGATAAACGGCTGCATGCAGATTAGCGGATACTAAAGGCTCTAGCTCTTCCCTCTTTAAAATAATCTTTAACTTCTGAAAGACAAGTTCAACGGGGTTCATTTCAGGTGAGTAGGTTGGCAAATAGACAACGTCAACTCCTAGAGTATCAAGCCACTGTCCGAGGGCAAATCCGCCTGCATTGTGATGTGTAGCACAGTTGTCCAGCACAATAATATCGCCCGCCATTAATACTGGATTTCCGTTTGGCTGAAAGCTTCTGCTAGCTTCGGCGAAAAAGTTTAAAAATTCAACAGTATCGGAGGAACCGTCAACGGTATTTGCATACATAACACCGTCCAGACCACCAAGAAAGTTTAATGTAATATTTTGGGACTTACGAAATCCACCAACTTCGATGCACGGCGTGTTCTTTAGGGAATGGCCGTACCGTTTGTTGCAGTCGGACAGATTGACGCCCATTTCATCAAAAAATTTGAGCCTGTACGGATCAATTTGACTGATAAAATTCAAGTAGTCTTGAGAATAGTCTATATTCTCAGGATTAAATTTGTTCTTTACAGTTCGACACATTCGTCTCCACGTCCAAACACCTTCACTCATAGAACCTCGAACAGCTCGCCCAATGGCTGAGATTGAGGTTCCGCCAGGTAAATTTCCGTGTTCTAACAAGTCGTTTTTAATGATCTTGTAAGAAGTGGAAGGCTTTTGCGTTTTAATAGCTTCAACGAGCATCAACTCACCCGCTCCTAATTTAGCAGGGTTGCCCGAGATTCGTTTCCTTGGACTAACAGAATGACTGGCGACAAATTTTTCCCAAATGTCTTTGACAGTTTTCCCATGAACTCTGTACTTCGCACCAATTGTAGTCCACTGCCCGGGAAAATGTCCTGTATCACTACAACCCCCACCTTTCAAAATATCATCAATAATACTGCCTCGTATAGATTCCTCGACACATTTCCCTCTTGTAAAGAACCGTCCCTTCGAGTTAAATGCCATGTCGAAATTGTTCGATGCCGCTTGCAAAAATTCTTATCACGTGGTACATAAATTCTTATCGCGAAGGCGCTAAAAACATGATCACGTGGTACATAATATCTATCCCGCGCGTTCAAATCTCGAGAGATCAATTTACCACTCTAATGGTTTCGATAATAACAAGCTCAATGCATACACAAAATGTGTGTACATCGTTCAATATAGATGTATACATGTACGAAAAGAGCTTTTTCGGGTATTCAAGCGTTATGAGAGATCAATTTATGATAGATCAATTTTACGTATATTCAAAAGCAAGATTCATTTGGAAAATATTACAAATATAAATTAAGTGGGGACATAGAAAAAAATCCTGGGCCTTTAGTGTATGTCGACCCAAACAAAACAATAGCAGCTCCATATAGTCAAGGCAATCAGCTGCTTTTTGGGCAGAATGCAGGGCAGCAATGTGTTGCAATGAGTTTGTGCTCATTGATTTACAGTTACACAATTAAATGGTATCAGTTCTGCGAATGACCTTGTAGAAATAATGAATATTGGAAACAAGTTGTATTCAAGATTGTCACAATTAGTCGGACAGGCATTTTTAATGCAATCAGAATTACCAACAATATTAAATATGTTTGATACTGATTACCAGTTAGGGTACAGTGAAAGCTACTCAGGTACTGTTAAGCAAGAAAGTTCTACAGAGGGGTATCAATACTGTACCTCATTGCAAGAAGCTTTTGAGTGCCTTATATCTGATAACTACACCTATTTCATATTAATGGTGGGGTGTATTGGAGTTGCAATTTATTGTAATCATGGTGATATTGGGTTCAAAATATTTCATTCTCATGCATGAGATTTGTATGGTAGAGGTCATCCTGAAGGTACATGTGTACTTCTTGAAGTGCCGTCTCTTCAATTTTTAATACATTACTTTCAGAGTATATTTAACAATTATATATTTGAGTTGAAAGGTGTACAGATTGAGAGAGTTCAAAATAGCATGCTTCCACCCAATAGCATGCTGACCCACAAAAAGTCAAAATATATATACTCTGCCTTGCTTTATATTTTATAATGACAGAGATGACCCTCCTATTGCATATTCTAAAAGCATAAATGGAACAGATTTACTTAATTGTCACTACTACTAGAAATATTCAGAAGAGATATAACTCTTCAGGACATTACACAATTCAGTTTTTGTCATGTTCATGTAACATTGTTGACAAAGATGAAAGAGAAAGATTAATGAATAAATCTAGACAGAAGCAAAACTATTATGCGATGGAACCAGCAAAGAAAAAAATACTTTTAGAGAAAAGAAAAAATAGACATACAAATATATCACCTCATGATACCTAATTGTCTTATTAATGTATTCGGCATATGTAAAATACGGCGTATAAAATGGGCCTAAAACATTTATATTTTTAGGTCATTGGTAAAGATACTGATGACAAAGAGTTGACTATAAAAATGGGAGATGAAGTCCTTTCGAGCTTGTTAAACATTTCCGAGGTTTTAGCACTGGATGAAGATGCCTTGGCGGAACATTTGCTATTTGTCAATAATGTCACGTTAACGTACGAAAAGAGCAGTTCATTGGCAATAGCTTTTTGTTAATTTCT